TTTTATTTTGTATTTTTGTCTGGAAATCTCCTCTCATACATTTAAGAATCCTTCCTTTGGTTTCTTTAAAGCCACCAACTTTATTATGTTTATTGGAGATTATAAGAGAAGTCGTGCCTGAGTTTACACGTGAGCAGGAGATATTATTATTATTATTGCTGTTTGGGTTTGTTTTATTGCAACAAAAGGAAGAGGGAAAATAGATTGTGGTTGTTCGTACAAATTTCAATATCTGTCGATATTCAAGGACGAACTTTGATGTTTCAAGATATGAAACCTAAAAATGTCTAAAAACAAGGAGCAAGTGTAGAAATGTCTGCTCTTAAAGGCAGCTGTACTTCAGGGTTTCAGGTTTCTTTTTTTTCTTGTGTCGTTACCACAGTGACTCTACATTTGATCTGTTTTCATGCTGCGTCATGTGTACTTACATGTAGCAATAATGATTATTACTATTATTCCAGTACAGGCGGATCATATAAAAATTGTGTCATGCACAAAGAGGAAGTGTCCTCTGTAGTTCTTGTGAACTCTCTGCTGCGTGCTGATAAGATAAAACAAGACATTTGCTAAATGGACGACTTCAGGCTTAAACCACAGGTTGCACTTCCTCTTCCCCGGGTGGCTCAGCTACAAACCAAGAGGCTTTTCAGCAGATACAAACAATCCTGTGGCAGAATAAACTGTAACCAATTACAGTGTTTTATTCATACGCAGGCATGTAGGCGCTGGGAGCTGCTCAGAAGAACGCAGAAATTTATCAGCGAGCAGTTTAATCATCTGAAGAATCTAAAATAATCCAGACTCTTTATTTCACTAAAGCTTTGGCCTGACAGTCACAGTCAGAGCCACACGCTCCTCCTTTATAATGATGCAGTATTCAACAACAACACACCACAACATGTCTAATCATTTCCTGTTTTCATGACTCCATCAGTGCTGCAACCTGGCCCCTGTAACACAAGCCGAGCCTGTTTCAACAATAAAGCAGAGCCATCCTATCGCCTCACTGAAGGAGTCAGAGGTTTGTCTTTGTCCTCTCATTTGTCACCTAGTTATATATTAAAAGAAATCCAATGAGGTAAAACAAAAGAAACCACAATATTAATCAGTTATGAAAATAATGTGATGCAAGGTTTCTTTGCTGCATATCTTAAATTCCCCTCATGACTGTCACGGTTCTGAGTCATTTTGACCGAGCTTTTTGTGTTTCTTATGCTTTGGTGTTTTTCTAGATTATGATTTATGTTCTGATTCTTGAGTTGTGCTGGTCTGATTTTGTGTTACGGGTTATATTTTCTGTCAAGTCCACGTTGTTGTAGATTGTTTCTTGTTTCCTGTTTTACTTTAAAGGTTCATGTCTGATGTCAGTGTGTTCAGTTTTACTTCCCCCCTGTCTCGTTAGCCCTAATTTCACCCAGCTGCATCTCCCTCCTGTTTCCCATTCCCTGATTACTCCCCTGTGTATATAAGCCCTGTGTTTTCCTTTGTTCTCTGTCGTGTCGTGCCCTCTACATGCTTTGTGTTTTGTCTCCTGTCCCTGTTTAGTTTCTCTGTTCCAGTTCAGTCCGTAGTACCAATGTTCTGAGTTTTGGTTTGGTGAGTTTAAGTTATCGAGGATTTTTCCAGCAGTAAAAGCTGCGTTTTGAGGTTGAATCCCGTCTCCAAGAGTCCTGCATTTTGGGTCCACC